CCCCAAAACCCCAAAACCCCAAAACCCCAAAACCCCTTTTGCCCAGTGAAGTGCTGAAATAATATAATATTAGGAAAATGAATACTTTCGACCAGGAAGTTAGCAAAATGAGTGGACATAAGTTGTCAGGGTTTTATAGCGGCCACAAGATATGCGGATTTACTAAGAACGAGATGAGAAATATGCTGTTCTTCTTCGAGAATATAGAAGCTTTTGGGTATAAAATCCAGAAAATGCATGGACTAGGTTACATTTTGGGTGATTTTGGGCCCCAAAATATCTGACATCTTGTAGCTAATCAGATATAACCAAGGCTGAGGTCGGACCCTTACCGCTGATACGGTTAGGAGCTCAAATAACTCATCCTAAAGAGGGAGATGATGTAAACTTTTGGTTTACTAGTGTTAATTATGATAATAGTGGGACAGCTTCTGTAAAAGACGATTTAGAAGCGATATGATATTTACTGATTTATTGTATTAATGAAACCTTACCCTGGTGATCTGAGCATGGCCAGATAATGTCTCCTATGGGCCAATCTACTAGAGAAATCAAGGCTATCTGTAATACAAATGAACTATGCTATGGCCTTCCTTCCAAAGTTTTCAGATACTTAAAGTACGTTAAGTCTCTCAAATCAAATGCTGAGCCTGACTATTCAAAATGTTGGGAGTTACTAGCAGAACAATTTCAGTCTATCTCGTTTAGGAACTTTCTGAGCACAAGCGGAGCGTGAAAAATGAAGATGCCTGATGACCCTGAGGCTTCCAAAAGCAAAGAATGCATCTCATATAGCTCGGATAAGTCATTAAATCCTTTATGAGGGAAAATAGTCAGTTTGAAAAATAAGCAAATTATGAATTCTTCGACAAATAATGATTGCAATTTGATAAATAGAAGCAAACTAATGGATGGAAATAAAGCAAGGAGGAGGTACAAAAGGAGAAAAGTGTCTAAGAAGATTAGTTCGGCTCCTTTAAATAAGCTCGGTCCTAATCCTATAGCTCCAAGAGAGCTGATAGGATCTAGCATTTACCAAGTCCCATCGAAAAACTCTCGGTAAGTCTGATTTTTCTTCACTAATTATAACGTTTTAGATGAATCTCCAGACATAGCGGGTCAATATCTCAAGATAAGCGTCAAAAAGCAAGACGATATGGGTCCTCCAAACCTCAGCTAAAGAATATGAAGATTTTCTCTGTAGTCTCTAGATGAAAGAGCAAGCACCAATCTAACAGTGAAATTCTAGACGAAATCGACGACTTGACTATCTTATCTGCTGAGTGTGTAACTGTTCGTAGGGTTAACGTACTAAATCCCCACAGTAGTGTTTTCAAGAGATTTTGATAACATTAATTAAGGGATTTACTAGTAATATTTTTCAATTGTTTGTAAGTCAAATGGGGTTTTGGGGTTTTGGGGTTTTGGGGTTTTGGGG